AATTATTTTTTCTCCTTAATTACTTTTCCACCGAATTATCAAGTCGGTTAAAGCTAGGTGTTGGATCGGGCATAGCGAGGTGTTGAGTGATCTTGGGCCTCTCTCACCCAATAAGCATGCTTTCTTCATACTTATAAACTGACCACCAGCCCCTTTCACAATCAATATGGGATAATCCCAACAATCTCCCTCTCTCACATCGAGCCTTGAGTTGAAATAGCAACAACTCGCATCTTCCATTGTGACTGTTGGGTCTAAACTTGTTGGTAACTTGGGCTATGATACCAGTGTTGAGTGATTTTGAGCTATCTCACCTCAAAAGCTAGCTTAAAGGGTGAGACTTTTTCTCACACTTATAAACTAACAATCAACCATTTCCACAATTGATGCTGGATAACCCCAACACGAAGTTCACCATGAGCTTGAGTTCCAGCTAGGGCAATCTCTTGAGAGCTATATGGCTAAGGATCTCACGTCCTTAGATTTTAAGGTCACTTCCCTTTACCTCATTCATTACTTTGAATCGAGTTGTTGTTATATCTACTTATTTGTGTGGAATTATCGGTTATTTGTTTGAAGGAAAACTATTTCCAGGGAAATTGTTTTCTCACTTTTCGATGTTTGGATAATGAAAAACTAATCAATCTAAGAAAAACGTTTTCCATGAACCGAAAACAACAAGCTTATTCATCTTACCTTACCAAAAAAAAAAAAACAACAAGCTTAGATTGGAGAAAACGACTCCCCCTTCTAGCAAAAAGGAAATCACATTTCCTAAATCACAAAACAAATGAAAACTAACTATTTTCCTTAAAAATGATTTTCACGGAAAATATTTTTCTTTATCGTGAAGTTTTCGGCGAAATAAACGCTAAAATGTTTCACTTGATGCAGGATTAGCAGGATTCTCCATGATACATGAACTTCGTACAAGAAAGATTAAAATAAAAAGAAAGAAAGAAAGAAAGTGGGGTTTCTCCCAAAAAAAAATGATTAAATTTCTTAATCAAAAACCTATATTACTTTATTTAATGAGGGTTGGACGTCTACCATTTTAATATTGCTATATTACGAATCGTCGTAGTCAAACATAGAACATCGTACAATACTGATTTTTAAATTTATGACATTGTACAAGTGTTTACTTCATCTAATCATATTCTAGCCAAAGCATAGAGAAGTCAAAGTAAGGATGCTGAATGCTTAACTGAAGTATGTGGCAGATTAAAGAAACTAATGATATTATGCTCGCGCAGCTGTTGCTTTCTCCTCGTGCAAATATAGTTTATGGGCAAACGATTAGATTATTGAACCTGCTTCTCCTCTAGCTAAGGGGGCAAAAGGATTCTCAGAGGAGTTCAATTCTATCTCATGATTAGAATGAAAGTATAAAACAGATGAAGGTGCTTATCTCATGTTTGAGAGATTAATTGATATCATCAACTTCATATTAATTCATATCGCTAATTTAATCCCTAGACATGTCGTTGCCGTTCCGTAATCTACAAGATTCAATGGCATGCACGCTTATAAATAAATTTAATAAGGTTTCAGTACGATCCTATAGGAAGCTATCGTGTTTAAATGGCTATGAGTTTTAGCATTCTCAGTCGCCAATCGTTTCCTTGTGGCCGCGGGAGTCTAGGTCTAGCGTGAATGAGCACAAAATGGAATGTCCATGTGTTGCCGTATTGTGCACGGAGACGACAAAAACAAATTAGAATAGGAGATCGAGAATATGAGTCCGAAAGAACAATTTACTTTAGTTCAGTGTTCCACGTCATCAACAATTGAAACACAATAAAGTTCACTAAAAATTCACAAGTATAAAAAGTATTGTTTAAAAAAACAAGCTTGACCTATACAATAAATAAATAAATAATGCAAACAAATAACCCTATACCGTGGTTTGATGATTGGTACTAGATCATTGCCACTAGGGGCTTTGGTGGCCTCTTCGGCAACTAGGCGGGCTTAATTAATGCGTTCCTTATTTTAACATGAAGGTACTTCCACGCTGTAGCCTCTTGTTGGGTCATAATCTTTTTCTTGCCTGACCTCAACAATACGTAAATTTCATTTTTACACCTCGGGGTCCAGTGTAGCGTTCTAGGGACATACCAAGGTCAAAAAAAACAAGCTTGCCCTATATATTAAATAAAAGAAATGCAAACATAAAAAAACTGGATTTCAAGATTGAAAATACAGGAATGGGCATGGCCCAATCCTTTTCCCTCCTTCTAAGTGGGAGGCCGCAAGGCATGCCCAGTGGGCTTTGTGGCCTCCTTTGCTACTTATGAAGAGATGTGCAGCCTCTACCTAATCTATGAGATTAATTTTTGGTTCACAGCTTGTACAATATATAGTTTATGCTAGTCCCTTTCCATCACCATTGATCTGGGTAATCAAAGCTTTATGATATAATGCATTATCTAGATCCATAATGATAAAATGTGGCTAGCGTAAAATAAGTTAGAAAAAGATCACGCAGCTTGCTTACCTTATCGATATGCCTTTCCTAGTTCGCTGAAACAATGTCGTGTACAGAAAATAGAACTATTTTATGGATGAGTATAGAATAAAAAATGAGGATATATATTGACCTACTCATGCAATGAAACCTAACTCTTTATGCTGGTCATTTTCCATAACTCTGCCAGTATGATTACTTTTTCCTAGCCCCCAGTGTACAAAACAAAAGCCAAAAAAAAAAATCCTTGCAAAAGAAAAATACAAGTAATTTATAGTAATAATGATTTCAGGGCAGCACTGTTTCTACTCCCTGTATGACTAAATTCACTCCATTTACACTAAAAAAAAAGCCCTCAATCATTTAATTGCAAGGTGATGACCCCATTCCTTCTTTTTTCTATTTTTCTATTTCTATTTATGATCTACTTGCCATAATTAAGTATTTCACATGTTTTGGTTTTACGTGTATTAAAGAAATTTTTTAGTGTTTTCCTACATAATCCAATAACATTTTACAAGCTCCGTGTAAAAGTATGTCGCCAATATTAAGGAAAAAAGACAAATTCTTTGATATAGTAAAATACTTAAAAGTCTCCTTTTCATCATTGTTCTTATGGTAACTTATTTATTCTTTGTTTCTTTTAATTCGTCAGCTCACTTTCTTGGTGAATTTTTTATTGTTAATTTCATTAGTCTAAGATATATATCAAGTCTCTTTACTGACTATATTAAAGAATTTAACTTTTTTTCCTTACTATTGGGGAGATATTTTTACATAGAACTTGTAAAACAGTATAAAAATATCTAGGAATACACTAAAAAAATTATGCACGACGAGACATGCTGATATCTTTGCATCTTAAAAAAATTTCTTATTTTATGCAATTTTTTATTTAATAAAATTTCTCTTTAAAGTTTCACGTCGGACAAATGTAATTATGATTTTATTTTGAAAAATCTACAAATAATTTTTTTTTCTTCATCTAATGATCCTATTATATAGACACACACAATATATATAATAAGATTGATAAGACGGGAATTGATGGTGATAATTTATGGAAAATTCTAAATAAGGGCATGAAGTTCCTTCATTTTCTCAAATAAGGGTCTTAAGTAGATTTTGTTTCAAATAAGGGCTTGAAGTGGTCATGCCAGTTTCAAATAAGGACCTTACTCACCGGCCGGCTAAATATTCCAGCTGATCATGGGCATTTTCGTCCAAAGACAATTTTAACTTAAATTTTAGTTAAATTAGATTAAAAATTTAAAAATCTAAAAATTTTAAAAAAAGAAAAAAAAATGTAGGCGGGAGGGTTGGGCCGGCCGTCCCGCTTGTGGCTGCCACCCCACTGGCAATGGGGCGACGGCCACAGGTGGAGGGCCTTGATTTTTTTCTTTTTTTTTGGGTGTTTTCTTTTATACTTTTTTTAAGTTTTAGGATTTTTTTTCTTTTTTTAGTTTGTCTTTTTTATGGAAATTTTTTTGAATTTTTTAACCTAATTCAATTAAAATTTTGTGCAAAAATTAGGATTCAGGTCAAAACGATATCTTTTTAACGCAACATGGGAGATATAAAATATTACAAAAAAACCTTAATACAAAATCGAGTTTTGGACGAAGCCCTTGCCAGGTTGCTAGCGAGGGTTGCTCGCCTAGGTCCTCGCTAGCCGCGGGCGAGGCGATTCTCGTCCAGATCTGGCGAGGGCCGACCTTGCCTGTGGCTGACAAAGGTCACCCAAGTGAGGCTAGCCCTCGCATGTGGCTTTCAAGGGTAGCCTCACCCGGCCCTCTCCGAGTATTGCCGGTGGTGGGCCATCAATGAAAAGGAAAAAAAAAACATAAAAGGAGAAAATAAAGGAAAAAAATGAAAAAGAGAGTAAAGGACAAAAATGCCCTTGCCATTGAAGTCAGATTCTTCTTTGAGACTGACAAAGCCACTTTAGGCCATTATTTGAAATAAAATTTATTTTGGGCTTTTATTTGAAACAACATCCGCTTCAGACCTTTATTTGAGAAAATAATGACACTTCAAGCCCTTAAAAAATTGTCTACATTTAATTATTTCTAGATTCTACTATACAATTTATTCGTAAAAGAATTAGCTTTCTTGGAAATTTCTATTTTCGACAAAATTTGTTTTTATGAAAGTAAATTTTGAGAATTAAAAGAACATAGTTCCTTTCATGCACATGAGGGTCCTCTCTTTTTAGGTAACTAAATCCTATCTAATCATGGAGTTGTCACTTTAAATCGCAATCGAATGATTGATGGCAATTTTGGGTTTTTGATAAAAATCTATTGGATTTAATCGTACAGGGACGGATATAGTGCCCCAAAATTTCCATATGGGGGAGGAAAAGGACGGGAGTGCCCCTTGGGGAGGAGGATAGGAGTAGGATACCATTCAGGCTATAGAAGGGAATCTATAGGGAAGCCGTTTCTGTCCTCTTCCTTCCTTCTCTCCCCCCCAATTTAAACCCCCTCCCTTGGCCCCTTCTCCCTTTTCATACCTTCTAATCCAGCAAACAACAGCACTCACAACAACACACAAAACAACACCAACCTATAAAGATAACGTCGCCATCACATGAGCATGTCGTCTCATTGCTTCCTCTCTCTCCCCGCTCCCTCTACTCCCCCATCATGTCGCTCCCCCTCCAACCTCGCTGGGTATCGATATTCCACCGCCGAGCTTTCCCGTCTTCCGGGTAAGTCAGTCGTTCGGCGGCGTTCTCCTCCTCTTCTTCTTCTTCTTCTTCTTGTGTGTGAGGAGTTAACTTTTGTGAAGTTGTCAATATGTCGAGCCATGTATGCTTCTGACGAGGCGACCCTTTTGGCTGCTCAACATTGGTTTTTCACTTTCCCTTCCGCAAAAGAGAAGGCATCTTTGTCCATCAACTCTCCTCCTTTTATTTTACATCAATTCGCTCTGTCTTATAACTCTTGTTACGTGAGAGAGAGAGAGAGCGCTTATACACGAGATAGATGTTTTTCTGGGTATATATGCAAGAGGCTGGATCATTCGGGAACACCGAGAGTGAGGTTAGGTAATAGTTTCAGACTGCCCCCTCGTCTCTTGTTCTTTGCTACTTTTTACACATGCCATCATTCATCAACTTTTCTTTTCTTTTCTAACTTAATGTCAAATTCCTTCCTTTTTCCTCCTCATAGGCTCATACTTTGTTTTTGTTGTTTAAACGGTTATCCTCTATTCTGAGAACTGCTTTACTATATATTTTTTTCATTTTAGTTTGTTTCTCTATGAAAAAAAAAACGATAAAACTCTCATGATATTTTCAGAACATGTAATCTGTCATTGTCGAGACGGCCTCTGCTTTCTAAGCCTTGTCCCTCTTTTTGAACACTCGTGTTTGGTTTATACAGAAAGTTGTTAATAAATACAAACGAATGAGGAATATGGACAGCACAACACCACTAAACACTAACGCATCGAAAGCTAGAAAACATTGCAGGTGTTTGGCCTTCCGGGGATAACGACAAGCGACTTCGCTTCGATATTCGACCCAGATGTAGCGCCATATCCAAGCCTCTCACCGAAGGTAATATCATCATGCCTACCTATGATCATGCTTTTCAACCTGATTCATAATGCCAGTGTGTTGTAATATAAAGCATAGAGTTTGTGGGACCTTTTTGGGGCTTGACGTGGGACTGTCGTGCGCAGAATATGACGTGCTTCAAAATGGTCTGCCAATTATCGAGTGGCAAGAGATTGTGGAAGATGACTTGGGAGTTGAAGGAGTTGAGGTAATGCTTTGTTTCATTGTTTCTCTTGCCAGTGTCCACAGCTGCAAAAACTTTCGGCGCGAACAATACACTTGGCCAGTCAATTCTGATGAAAATTTGGGAGAAAACAATTGCGACTCTCCGTTCTCACGGAGATACATTGAGTGACATGCCGACGTGATATCGCACGTCCACTCAAATGTCATCTTTTTCGTAACTTTTTAAGATAAGTTTTAGCATGATCGAATACTCAGATATCATGTCATCCTGTCGCATGATGTGTTCCACTTGATCTTCGCGAAGGTTGCTTATCCATCGAGTGAGATCGAGAAATGTGTCGAAGCAACCAAGTCGATGCTGTGGTCGATGAGCGATGGAGAAATAAGTATATCAGCCTACGATACGGCTTGGGTTGCTCTTGTAGAGGATGTCGGCGGGAGCGGTAAACCACAGTTCCCAGAAGCTCTGCAGTGGATCGCGGACAATCAGCTTCCCGACGGTTCTTGGGGCGACGATCTCATCTTCTCCCCCCATGATCGAATCATCAACACCTTGGCTTGTGTCGTAGGTCTAAAGTACTGGAAGATTCATCCTGACAAGTGCGAAAAAGGTGTGCCTAACAATATTTTGTTCTTGGCAATTCTTTCACATCTTGAATTGACAGAGATAAATGTTTTGTTTTTTTCTCATCCTGGGATACATATTAACTTTCATTTTTTTTTGGTGATTTTAACAGGAATGTCATTCTACAAAGACAACATATCTAAACTTGGAGAGGAGAACTCCGAGCACATGCCCATTGGGTTTGAAGTTGCTTTTCCTTCGCTCATCGAGACCGCTCGGAAATTGGAGCTCGAGATATGCGACAACTCTCCCGTCTTGCAAGAGATATACAAGAAGAGGAATCTGAAGCTCAACAAGTAAGGAGTTTAATACTGGGGAGCTCAAAGCTTCTACTAACGATAGTTGTCTCTAGCTTTTCTCACACTTTTTTACTATGGTAGATATTGTATGAAAAAGTGAGGACACCTTACCTAATGAAAAAAAAACCACCATTCCCGTTAAAGCAAAATGGACCATTTTGATTTAGCTTTAGTACATGTTGGGGGTAATGATTGGGTTGTGTTTTCGTGTGACGCTCCACAAAAAAAAAAGGATACCAAAGGACATAATGCACCAAGTGCCCACAACTCTACTCCATAGCTTGGAGGGAATGGAGGGCTTGAATTGGGAAAAGCTTCTGACATTGCAGAGCGCAGATGGGTCATTCTTGTTCTCTCCCTCCTCCACTGCATTTGCACTCATGCAAACCAAGGATGCCAATTGCTTGAATTATTTAAGTAGAGCGGTCAAAAGATTCCATGGAGGAGGTAAGCAACTTTTTCAATTAGTAGGAGTTAACATCTATTTCTACCCTTGTCTTGCTATTATTATTATTTTGATTCGCCGCCTCTATACATATCTCAGGATATTAAAATATTAAACCATACATTTTATCCAGTAATTTAAACTCTAATAACATGTAAACTTTTTGGGGACCATGGTCTACTGTTCTAGAAGTTTAACCTGTATGACATATAATAAGAGAGGCGAATAAGAGGATTGAAAAGATTTAAACTCAGGACCTCTTGTTCTGTTATCATGTAAAATCTTGTGAGATTACTGTTAATTATTTTTAAAGTTTAAACTGTTAGACGAAAGCATGATATAATATTTAAATTTTTTGACAGTAGAGAAGCAGTCTTGTCCAATCGAGAAGTAGTACCAACGTCACTTTTCTTTGGCAATTATTAATTATTATCAACACTTGACACTTGGTTAGGAGGTGACCATATGAAGTCATTGATTGATATATTGATAAAAAGAGAACGTCAAGTGTGTGTCTATATATATAGAATGTTATAAATTTCACTATATGCATGTGATCTAAAGGTAGTAAAAACACTTGATTAAAGCACTTTCAAGTTGCTGATATCATTGAGTTATGAACTTTATGAAGTAACTTTCTCTTTTGCTCTAAACTTTGTTTAGTCCCGAACGTGTATCCGGTTGACTTGTTCGAACATATGTGGGCCGTTGACCGTTTGCAGCGACTCGGAATCTCTAGGTACTTCAAGGATGAGATCAAAGAATGCATAAGTTACGTTCAAAGGTAAGAAAAACCCTAAACGGGATCTTCTGTTGTTTAAGTATTCAATCTACTTAAACGCAAGAGACTCAACTCATGTAGTTGAACTGTAAGTTGAATATTAGTAGTTGTTAAGTATTCAAGACATGTCTGAAGGTCAGAAACAAATGCTGAATTTAGTTATTGAAATTTTCGTTACCCTTCAAAAATCCAAGCTTAGAAAAATCAGGCTTGATCAAAGCTTGGTTGAGCTTTGGAGCTAAGCATCGAGCCACGAATTCTAGAGTTAATTATGTCAGATTCAGATAGCTAATTTGCGTAATGAAAGCCTGTTCAATCTAAATGACAAATATTGTGTCAGATATTGGAGTGATAAAGGGATCTGCTGGGCAAGGAATTCAAGAATCAGTGATATTGATGACACTGCCATGGGATTCAGGCTCTTGAGACTCCACGGCCATGAAGTGTCTGCTGGTACTTGACAGCTCCTTCTTGGTTTCTTTCCTTTCCTCTTTTCAATTTTCTTGATTCAATACCTGGTGGAAGTAATTATGTTTATACTGCATTGCATGTCGTCAGATGTGTTTCAACGATTTAAGAGAGGGAATGAGTTCTCAAGCTTCGAGGGGCAGTCGACGGAGGCAGTCACCGGAATGTTCAATCTCTATAGGGCCTCTGAGTTGATCTTTCCAGGAGAGAAGATCCTCGAGGATGCGAACAGACATGCATTGAAGTTTTTGAGATGGAAACAAGAAGCTAACGAGCTAGTCGATAAGTGGATCATAACCAAGGACTTACCAGGCGAGGTATGTACATTACTCTTCGAACTTTGTTAGGGTATCGCTCTCCCATCCCATGCTTGGTTCGATTTTCAGGATTCTATTCTGTTACTTTGGCATATGCAATTACTAGCTGTAATATAAATCCAATTTTTGAGATACTAGAAATACCATTATCAGAAAATAAATATATAGAGTCTTCTTTTAAAGGTCGGGTACGCTCTGGATGTTCCATGGTATGCGAGCTTACCTCGTGTGGAGACAAGATATTACATAGACCAGTATGGCGGCGAAAATGACATTTGGATTGGCAAGACCCTCTACAGGTTCTTCTCTCTTTCTCTCTTTCGTTTCATGTCCTTTTTCGTGGCCCTTGTTAGTTCTAATTTCACTCTTTTTTCGAGAAGAAAGATATAAAAAAAAAAAGAGGAATGGTCAAATTCTAATCAACTATTGAACTTGCTTAATCTTGCTGGATGTAATGGCAGGATGTGGTACGTTAACAACAATGTCTATCTCGAGCTCGCAAAGCTGGATTACAACAATTGCCAAGCTTTGCACCTCTCCGAATGGGACAATTTTCAGAGGTAAGTTCACCACAATTAAAGGGTGCAAAAATATGGTTATAGAATTTGCTAATTCAAATCTGCAATTTACAGATGGTATTGCGAGAGCAAACTCGTGGACTTCGGGATAAGTGGGAAGACGCTTCTTTATTCTTACTTTACAGCAGCAGCAAGTATTTATGAACCAGATCGGGCGAGAGAGAGACTTGCGTGGGCCAAAACGAGTATGTTGGTGGACGCAATCGCCTCGTACCTGGACGGAGAGGGAACCTCTCGTGAGCAAAGAAGAGCCTTTGTTCGTGAATTTCAGCAGTTCTCCAGGAAACAGAAGCACATAAACGGGAGGTAAGATCACTTGGATCGTTGTTGTTTCTCTTTTCAGGTTAACAGAGGAGTAGCCCTAACGCGGGCACGAGCGCGCGATTCATGTTTGCCCGATGTATACTATGAGCCAGAGCTAATTCAGAATCAGAATCCATGGCCGAAAGAATAGTTTCTTGTAGGTTTTTCGAATGTCAGTTGGGTACGGAAGTTACACATGCATAACCCCACTTGCACGTCCATATATGGTCAACATAATCTCGAATTGCGTAGTGAAATCCCTAGGAAGTAATCAGCAAGCGGACATGCGGAAACCCTACATGCGCAGGCAGGGTTCGCAGAAAAGTATGCTTATGTTGTCGTTTATGTAAATCTACTACGTTGTCGTCTTCTCCCTCTCCGAAGAACAGAGACCACATTCCTCGTCCTTCTCAAGTCCAAATAACTTTTTGTTTCTCGTTCTCTTTTGTTTGGCCTGTTTCATCTGAAAACACAAGTACAACCTGTAAAGGAAAAAAGCAAACAAGAGCGCCAATCTTGGGTTGGATAAGGAGTTTACCTGTTGTCTTTCATTGGTCAGAAAGTTTTGGTCGTTTACTGTTCTTGATATTCGAATCGTGAAGATACCTTTTTCTAACGCGAAGAAAATATTGCAGGAGCTCCATTCCCAACAAGGGAGGACAAGGGCTCATTGCAGCTCTGCTTGGAGCCCTAGACCAGCTCTCGTTGGAAGTCTTGGTGGCTCGTGGTGAAGACATTGGCCATGCTCTCCGTGCTGCGGTAAGTGACCTATAATCCACTAATTAAGTTGAATATAGTTGCTACAATGTAAAACCACATCGTGATCTTTCCATTAGAAGAAGAAAAGACACGGACACCATGACCCTTCACCCTAATTGATATCATTCGCTTCAATATGGAAGCGCTAGAGTCGATGCGGTATAGACACGGTAAATTGGCCCCAACAAATTTGATGCGATGTAGAAGTTTTCAAATAATTATAGTTGAGTGACAATTTTATTATACAATTATAATTTCAAATCTGGAAGAGCTAATTTAAAGTCTTCGCAACGTGCAAGAAATGAAAATCAAATTCGAGTTTTGAAGATATATATTTCTATCGTGAAGATAAAGAATGATAAGTCATAATTGGTGCGGATATAGTACTGAATCATAAATGCGATAAATATCATAAAATATACATTTCTAAAGGCCGTCTCTTGAAATCAGAGCAACCACTTGTCTTTCAAATCCAATCCATATAGATGGATCCCAAGATGTATGAGTCAATTTATCTTCACTAATTATTAACCAAAAAAAACAAGAAACAAGTTCCTAATCACTGTCTTTTTTTGGGTGGATGTTCATAACAATCATGTAGTGGGAAAAGTGGCTGATGGGATATGAAGAGGAAGGAGATAAGTACAAAGGAGTGGTTGAACTCCTCGTGCAGATGATAGCTCTCGGCGCTGGCAACAGTACTCCCTCGGACGACCTCTCGTCTCATCCTCAATACCACCGTCTCTGCAATCTCACCAACACCATCTGCCATCACTTGGCTCATAGCCAAACTGAAAAGGCATGCGAAAACGAGAACGTCCAAGCAGAAATGGCCAGGCAAGAGCTGGTGCAGCTGGTGCTCCAGGATTCAGCGCACGGGCTCAATAGGGGCGTGAAGGACACGTTCTTCGCGGTCACGAGGAGCTTCTACTACACCGCCCACTGTGATCCCGGGATAATCAACTCCCACATTGCCAAAGTGCTCTTCGAGAGAGTGAACTAAAATTCTGTGACATAAATTGGACGACACACGTATAGATCCATTGGACTTGGTTAGTCAATTAGGAAAAAGAAGGCAAAACACATGGAATAAACAAGGAAAGCCAATGTTTCATATGCAGAAGCAGAGGGAAAATATAAGTACTGCATAGGATGATTGTCAATGCTTCATTTGGTAAATTCGAAAGTAATACTACGTACATATAATTGAATAGATCGTGCCATGACAAGATGGCCTAGCGAAAACAAGCAAGTGACATGGAGAATGACTATAATATGAGAAAGTTGAGTTGGGCCACTAGCCTCGCAATTTAAACTTTTCAATGATGATATCTTCATTTTATAATGTGTGGTATGAAAAATGTTCTTGTCTCAAATCTTTGCACTCGTCTATTTTATGCATGAGGTCATGAGAGCAACATTAATATCTTTTCTTTGTCCAAAAAAAGTAAAGGGTTTTTGCCCACATGGAAGATCTTGCCTTGCTATCAAAAGGAAAAAAGAAATGCATGATTCAGTTTTAGGTTCGCGTATGTGCATTCTAGATGGAACTGGAAGTATGACACTTAGCATCCTTTACATGTACGCAACATAGCCAAAATTGATCAGCCAATGATTGGATTGAGATCTCTCAAATTCTTCGTTTTTTAACTTGAACCCTTCATGTCATGTTACATTACTTATGATACGCATATAAGAGACCAAAATGTATTTGTAGTTTATGTGTTATGTCCTCAAAGAGATAATTAATTAGTCAATGACATCGGAGATAAGTGAATTATTTGCATTCTTGTTTGATGTGCAATGGCATCCCCATCTATGGTCTCGTAGGATTTTACGATATACGTGTGATCAGAATCTTAATCGATGCTTCGCATGCAATTGTTTGATACAATCTTGTAACCCCAACTTCATCAAACTTGAAGATGGCACGGATGTCACCCTATTCATTCTTCAAACCAAGAACGGGGGTGGCCACGAAATAAGATGTGTTCTCGATGCACTTACCACTCACATCATAAGATGTGTTCTGCAAGCAAGATGCGAGAACGACTGAATAAGATCAGCACTCTTGAATTGCTGTTTTGGAAGATGATGTTGGAGATGCAACCATTCGTGTATGATAATGTAGGAGTCCAGATCGACATGGGCTAACTGAGAATGCGCGATGGATGATGGGGACGATGTGAAGGAGAAGACAGGAGTCGTTGTTTTTCAAGAAAATGGCAGACAGACGGCTCCTGGTTACACGTGACAGAGTTGGGGTTTCTCTCTCTCGTGAAGAGTTCAAAAAAAGTGAAGATTCCCCAAATCTCATCCCATCTTTTTGAATCTTTTTGTGATGTTCTCGTCTTCTGATTTGCTCAGGATTCTTGGAGCATGTTGGGCATGGCATGATTTCTGGAAAGAATAACAGAGAATGATTTGTAAAAGTTAGTATATTAAATAGCTCGACTCGTTATAGCTGGGCATATAGATAAGTTTAACATACTCAACATTCGATAATAGTCTTGCACTCATCTATCTGACAACGCAATTGAAATAAAGTGGTTGAGACACACTAATTTTCAACTTGTGCAACTATTTAAACAGAATGGATTAGGAAAAGAATGGGAGTGGCGATGTTGGAATCGAATGGAGATTAGTGCTTGTACCACTCTATTTGGCAACGCACTGGGATGAGATTGAACTCCATTATTAATGTGCTTCTGTTGAGGTGCGCATGACTGTGCTAGAGAATCTCAAGAGCATAGACTGGGTTAGGTTTAGGGCAGTTAACGCAATCCCAATTGGCGTATAACTCGTCAACTTAAATATATTAATGAACTTGCACTCGGGCTCTCTTTTGGTGATCTCCTTAGATGAAGGTACCAAGCTTCTATTGCATGTCACAAAAATTGGTATTAGTGTTTCTAATGCGTGTTACAACAAGCTGCATTACAGCTTTTGGTCGATTGATGGGCTATGGATGTTTATTGGCATGTTGATGCAAAATGATGTTTAGATTAAGGGGGAATGTGCCAAAGACTAGAACTCACACGTAAGGAAAAAATTGTTGAGTTGCACATGTGGATCGTGATTTAATTTTTTTTAAAATAAAATGCGGGTCCAATCAAATATATTGATATGCTCACGAGCTCTCCTTTAATGATATGTTGATGCAACTGACAAGTGTCATATGAAAAAGCATCCAAATCCAAACTCCTGTTGGTCTAGATATTAGCATACTTTTCGTGTTAGTGGGATGATACTTACTCATTCCCACCCTTACGAGATAACCTCATGATAATGGAAATATATGCTAATAATTCTACGAGAAAATCGGACCTTTCGCCGCAACGAAATTTCGTGGCTAGAGGCTTGGAATTTCATGGCCAAGGCTTCCCACTACAAAACTATTCGGGACGGAAAAGTGGTGGCTAAAGGCCTGTGGCGGTAGACCTTGGCGACAAAAGCGAGTAATTTCATGGCTAAAGAGAGCTCATGAGCATATCAATATATTCAATTAGACCTACCTTTTATCTTAAAAAAAATTAATCACAATCCAAATGTGCGAGAGTTCCTGCTACAAAACATTTCAGGACGGAAAAGTGGTGGCTAAAGGCCCATGGCGGTAGACCTTGGCGACGAAATCGAGTAATTTCATGGCTGAAAATACGCTTCTCGCCATGAAAAATATTTCGTGACAAATGGGAAAAAAAATGGACGCTCAGGAGCGACAGATTTTATGTCGTGGCTAAAAGGGTCAACAACATTTTGTGACGAAAATTTCGTGGGTTATTGTAGCTTTGGTGACAAAATTTTTCGTGGCTAATGATATGATTTTGTGGCTAAAAGCCCATTTGTTTTTCGCCATGAATACAATCGTCACAATTGGCTGCGAAAAGTCCATTTTGAATATATTTGCAGTTTTTTCACCACGAAAATTTCGTCGCTAATAGTATTATTTTGTACGTTATTTTCACCGTGGCTAAAATGGTGCGAATTTGCTACGAAGTTCGCCTCTTAAAGTTCTTTGAAAATTTTTACTATACATTTTAGGCTCGATTTGCAAATCTCGGTACTTTAAATTCTATTTTTGCAGCCATCCAAACACATCATAAATTAAGAAAATTAGAAAAATTAAATTTAAAAATTACAATTATAATGCATCAATAATCGCACGGCAGTCCAACCCTCTTCAATGATGGAAAAAAAAGAGAGAAGAAACCAAGACCATAGCAACACCTAAAGGTTATAAATGAACTCGAACAAGACATGGCTCAAATCCATGCAAAGACAATATATGAATAAATTTCGGGCCAACACTGGTCGAAAGGATTACATTGACAAGTCATAAAAATATTTATGACTAAATTTAGTCAAATTAAAATATTTATGACTGAATTGACATCCGCACAATAGGTATATGACATTTTTGGTCGTTTTTCCCTTCTAATTTTAATCTCGCTTTGAAAAAGCTACATAATCTTTTTTATAGGGAATCTAATCCAGAAGCTTAAACTTACGAGGTGGAGAAAGGTTAGCATACACAAAAATTATTACGGCGATTAGGGTAAATCCCCTGCACATAAATTTACCAATCACCCTAATAACGAGGGAACATATTCCCACTGGTGGATGGGAGAGAGTGAAGCAGACAGGCTAGGTACAACAAAGGGCAAAAAGGAAGTTCACCATCAAACTGGACAAATAGAAAAGCTCATGGGTCCATATTGCACAGCCATTTGCCAAAGGGCAAAAAGAAAGAAAACTGAAGAACAAGGGGTAGAATAACAGAGGACGATGCAGGGTTTTTGGCGGGTAACCCATTGTAGCAAGGAGGCCCGCCCCTCTGAGCTCTCGAGAACCCCACTCAGCAACTGCTCGTAGAACTGATGTCTGGCCATTCCTGGGGAGGGAAGGGGCCACGTGAGATCGTGGATTCACTGTCACCCTTTTGCAGGCACAAGCGGCGAACATGCATGCAGATGATAGAGAGAGAGAGAGAGAGAGAGAGAGAGAGAAGGGGGGGAAAGAGACAGCCACGATGCCCGTGAAAAAAGGGGAGAAAGCGATTCTGTGGACCGAAACACTCATCATTCCACGAGCAAGCCACTCCTCTCCCTCCTCATCGTCTCAGCTTTTATATGATGATCTTGTGCGTGGCGAGCATGCGCTGAGTCTCTCTCTCTCTCTCTCTTTCTCTCTTCCTCCAAGAAACTGTGGATTTTGGGACGAAAGTTCCCTTTATGGCACGAAGACCGTCGCGAAAAGTTGGCGTAACATGAGGAATAATGATACCTCGCCCATTATATATTGTTAAGTGATAGTTTTTTTTTTCATTTAATCATAGGAATTCATTATGGATGTGGTGTTGTAATATTTTGTTCTCATCTTGTAAATGTTGTAAATAACTCTATGCTTTTCATTATGAGATAGACATAAAAATGAGAGGAATTGCCCATCTAGTCCGAGATCTTATGGTAATCGAAATTTGTGCACACACCAGAGCTTTTGCATGCATAGCACTGACGCCATCAACACGTTAACATCGACCCGAGCAGTCCAATCATTGTCACGTCAGAGACCACGTTAACTTGTTGTCGCGTAGCCTGCCATGTTAGTAGCCACAGTTGTAGCGTAGCCTATCCATGTCAAACTCAAATGTATATTTACCACGTTAGCTTGTTATCACGTATCCTGCCATGTGAGCAGTCACTTCAGCTTTTTAAAAAGTAGCTTGTCACGTCAGCAACCACGTCTCGCATAGCCTGTACACGTTAGCTGTCGGTTCGCATAACCAGCTTTCTTGTTTCTCTACCACCAGTTGATTAGACTGGTATGCTTTCACTAAGACACATCTACCTAGGTATTTTCTTGGATATTTTCTCCAATAAGTTGATCATACTTGAGATCTCTACTAAGGCACATCCACGTGAGCTGTTTTTTTTGGATCTTTTTCTCCAAATTTCAATTGCTTTTTTTTACGTTACGTGATGATAGAGCTAATTGAAAAATAATTAGGAGTTTTCCATATTTCCCTTGATGTTTCATATATCTAAGGGCTGTTGATTATCTTTATTGATTGCGCATATACTTATAAACGCCTTATTTTACTCTTCATATGAAACAATATACGAGATTTATGCAATTCTCTATTCCGCATTATTCTTATATGACCCAAATTTACCTCAAAAAAAGAAGAAGCAATATCTGATTGCTCGGCCGGCAAGATATCAAGAGATCTTACCCTTGTTAAAAGTTTTATTGTGTCGGCCCATTTACCCACAAATACTCTGGCCACGAT